TTTTGATTGGAAATTTTTTCCCAAAATTCGTCGTCGTGGCGCAGTAAGTTGCGGGATTAGGTGTCCTGCACTGTATATATTAAAAACAAAGTGCTGCGCATTTAACTAATTGATGGGTGGTCGTGACACGGCAAATATTTGTTAAATTAAATGAATGAATTCTAAATTGTTTTTCTAGTGGTGATGCTAATACTAAATCAATAATGGATTAATTTCTTGCTGGTATTTTTAGTAGTAGGAGAGGATTTTTTAAAAAAAGGCTTAATTAATTTTCTTTAACAACATATTTTTGGAAAAGGCTTGATTTTAATCAAGTGATTTCTTTTTCATTTTTTTTTTTACTTATAAATACAACCTCTGAATGTTTTAAAAAAAATTGGGAGAGTGATCATGATCAATGATCAAAAGATTTATATATACAACACAATCAATTTTGTGAAACGAAAATTTCCCTTTTCTTTCCAATCTTTTCTAAATTGTTACAAAGTATAGTATGTTGCACTGATTTGATTGAGTTGTATTCTTTCGTTAAATGGTTATAGATTAAAAATTCCATTTGCATTAAATGCAATAGTGTTAATCTTTAAATATAATTACTAGCATCACTATAACTATTCCGCGTTAGAGAATCTAAATCAAACGGTGAAAATTTGAAACGACTTTGCAATTGATTTTTAAAAGACCTATCGTTGACGAAGCATTTTAATTTGATTGATTTTTGTATGTGAGGAAGTAAGTGGTCTAGCCAGATTTGCAAAATTAAAATATCTCTAGATTTATAATTATTGATATTGGTATTCGAAATATTTATTATTACTATTACTATTACTATTACTATGTATTACTATCACTATTCGAAATATTTATGATTATTATTATTATTATTATTATTATTTGAAATATTCTGGTTAATTGAACCATTCAAAATATTTGAAATATTTATATGGTGCGAAATATTTGAATAACCATAAATAGGGAGAGCCTTTAGTAACGACACCTTGCAAATAACACGAATATATTATCTTTTTATACTACTATAAATTTTGTTTAATTTGAAATCTTTCTTGACGAATGGAAACTAGCAACAGTACAATAATAATCGATGATGGTGATGATAATTCTGCTGATACTCCTTCCGATTTACATATAGCTCCAACACCGGAAACCTCTAACATTTTATCAAATAAAAAAATAAAATCCAATAAATCGAGATAGCTTCATTTGGAGCTATCCTGATAATTATAGGTAAAGATGGGATTTGCGATAAAAAAATAATTTGAATTTGACTAATAATTGCATCTTTCATTATTACATGTTGGTATTCCTCAATAAATAAAATCAATTAATCAAATTTCGTCAATTAAATATTTATTATCTTCTACAGTGCATTTGGTTATCCAGTACATTATGGTTATTCGAAACATTCATGACTATTACTATTATTATTCATTCTTTTTGGATATTTGAATATTCAATAAACACCTAATGCGGACAGGGGAATGGTACAAAATAGGATCCCGGATTATTATATATAATCACTCGTCAGGTAAAAATGAATTTTATTTATAATAACATGGAGAATTTTTTTGTTGTTGTTTTATTTGGCACAACGTTTTCATTTTTATTTTAAAAATTTTGTTTTTTCTAAAAAGTTTATATTAAACCTATTATTTATTTAATAAATCCCATTTATATTCTCTAGTTTAAAACTCCTAAATCTTGACATTTCATTATATATGTTCAAGAATAAGATAATAAAAGAATTTAATTGAGATGGATCAGGTTGTAATATAGAAAAATTGATATCAACTCGTAAGAATACACAGTTGATTTTTGTAAACGAAACACCTTCTAAATAATTTATTTCTTATTAGAAAGCAATAATGTTTTTATATTTTTAAGTGTTGGTGACGTTAGCCGTTTAAAATCCTTAGCCGGCTAACATAATTATGCTTAAATAATAAATTATAGATTGTGAATGTGACTGTATTGCTTTTTTTACATTCTTTGATAAAGTTGTATGAACAACATTATCATCGTCTGAAAACTCCTCTACGTTATCATTAATTAATTCTTTTATTTTGTTTTGTGCAAAATTAATCGAGCTAAAGAATCTTCTTTTTTCTTATCTTCATTCACAATATAATTTATTCCGATTGATTGAATATATTTGCATATTTTTGCCAACTTGCTGCAGTCTAATTTACTAAGACAATTAAAACAATTATGATGCTTATACACTGCCTGGAAGAAAGTACGCGAACCTCGTTTTTTATTAATTCCACAAACTTTTACATAATAAATTTTTTTTTTTGAAAACATCATATAGCTTAGGTTCTAACGAATGTGTATGCAATATTTCATGATTCTGTTATTTATATTAATTTTTTAACCAAAAAAAAAAACGAACTTCAATTGATATAAAAAATATAAAAAATGATCAAAAATTTTCTAAAAACCAAAATTTTATCACCTAATAAAAAATTTAATATTATGCCTCGATCCTCCTTGACATGCTTTCGGTCAGTCTATTATAAACTTCTTCAGGAATATTAGACCACTCCTCTTGCAAAGCAATATCTAATTCTTGAGAATTCTTGGGATGGATTTCACATTTTTTTAATCTTCTTTCTAATTCATCCCAAAGATGTTCTATTGGATTAAGGTCAGGAGATTGAGATGGCCAATTGATAAGATTTTTATATTATTATTATTTATCCAATATTGCACATTTTTTGCTGTGTGCACTGGTGCATTGTCATCCTGAAATTTGTATCCCTTGCAATTAAAATTTGTTTTTATTAATGGCAGCAAATTTCTTTCTAGAATTTTAATGTAATCTTGATTGTTCATCTTCCCTTCTACTTTAACAAGAGGGCCCAATCCTTTTCCAGAAAAACACCCCCACACCATTATCCTGCCACCACCACGTTTGACAGAAGGCCTCATGTTCTCAATTTTGTAATGCTCTCCACTTTTTCGCCAAACACGAGTTGGACCATCACTTCTAAAAATTTTGAAGCGAGATTCATCACTCCAATAACAGATTTCCATTGTATGATTGTCCAATTTCTTCTATCTAAACACCATTTTAACTGGTTTTCTCTTTGTTGATCTGTTAATAGAGATTTCACTGTGGCAACCCTGGACCAAGTTTATGCAAATTTTTGCAAATTGTTTTGACTGACACTTCAACACCACTGACACCAACAAATTTTCTTTGAATCTCTTCTGCAGAACTGCGATTATTTTTTAATGCAATTTCTCTGAGAGTTTTTTTGTTCACTAACATTTAATGCACAGGGATGTCCACTTCTTGGTGCACTTCTTAGGCTTTCAGCATTTTCATAACATTTAATGGTATTATAAACTGTAGTAACTTTTGGAAGCTTAAGTATCTTTACAATTTTATTAAGACTACTACCACCTAATCTAAGACCCAAAATTTTTCCACACTCAGCTTCAGTTAATTCATTTTCTTTTTGAGGCATCTAACCTTGGTGTGGTCAAAGTTCAGGAAATTGTTGATGGACCTTTTACTGAATTCAATTTATTGAAAACCAAGAAAGCAGATATTTTGAAGAAATTAAAGCTTTATCTATTTTAGTGTTAACACCACCTCCTTTGGACTACAAAATGCAAGAATACCTTTATAATAATATTCACCATTTGTGAAAGATGAATACAAAGATATTACTTGTCCAAAGCCAACTTACAGTAAAAATATATTATAAAGGCATGAATCAAAATAAAATTGACTCTCTCTATACTCTAATCAAACAAATGTCTCAAGAGAAGGGAAGAAAACTAAAAATTATTTGTGATTGAGATGAGTGTTTGCAGCCTTTAAATTCATATATAAATTATAAAATTTGTGGAAAGTATAAACTTCTTTCTATTTCTTTTGAAGATTTTTTAAAACTTTTTGGGAAAAAGTGCAAGGCGATTTCGGAAGTCATGGAATAACCAATTTAAACATAAACATAGAGGAGTTGGAAAATTTTAAAAAAATTTGGTTGAGGAATTGCTTGTTTTTTCTTCTTTCTAAGAAGGTTTAAAAGATTATAACAAAACAAAACAAATTTTCACCCTGTGAAAGGAGATTTAAGAAAAATTGGAATCTTCAGAGAACTTCTGCTAAATTTTCACAAACTAGAATAAAAATTTATAAAATAACAAGGAATAACCTAATGAAAGAAGTTTTCCCCATCACTGAGATTGAATAAAAGAGAACTGTCAAGTTGATATTTTTATTGATGATAATCATGTGATTATTGAAAACAGTAAAAAATTTTGGTCCAGAGATTTATGTAATGCTTGATTATAAACATAGTTGGCTTATTCAAGCTCCCAATATCTACCACCTTAAAAATACTGTCTCAGATTTAAAAGATGAAGATTTTTCCAAAGCTGGTGATAAATATAAAAACAATATTTCAAAGAGTAAAGGAAATTATGATGATAAATCTATTTGATGATGAATAGCAGGTATAACTTGTTTAGGTTTTATAATTTATAATTGTTATGATTTATGTTATTAGGAGGACTAAAAAGAAACAATAAATCAAACATTGTAACAATGGGATTATTTTCCTTCTAAAGATTTCCGCTTTCTTTTTCTAACATTTATTATTTTTCTTGGTAAATTTTATGGGTAATCATTTCTTTTCTTGGATAAGTTTCCAATGCCTGGGTATCTTTTATTTTGAAAATATAAGGGGCAATTTTTTTCCTTGTTCTTTCTTCAAAATGCTTCTAATGGTGCTATAATTCTTGGGTTCTATGGTAGACCTAATGTAAATCAACTTCATATTAACTATTTTTATATAGAGGTAATTTTATATATCTCTTAATATTAAGAAAAAAACAAATATAACAAATGAGAGATTTTAATAATCACATTACTAATTTTGATCCCTGAAATCATTGGTAATACCAATGTTCACTTTGTCTGATTTTGTTGCAGAATGCCCCATATATTACTTTTAGGAGTTTGTTGAAAAATCTGCAACATAATACCATTCAATTGTCAAGAAAAATACTCAAGTAAAATCTCCTAAGCTGAAAATGACTAGAGAAATGTTACATAATCCAATGAAAATTCCTAGCTGTTGAAATATTTAGTTGCAGATTATATATAGTAATTGATTGCCTTATTATAATTAATAAAATGATACACATTAAAATATTTTAAACATACCTTTGGTTAAAGACACTTACCATAAATGATTGAGCTAGTAACCACCATTGCTGCAAATAACAATTATGGAAGGTGTTTCTACTTTTGGTATTGTTTCATAAATATTAGAATCTTAATCTAGCAATTTATTTTCATCCTGTCAGGATGTTTCTCTGATGAGATGCTTAATTAAATACAAGATAAAATAATTTGTACATATTAAAATTTACATAAACTCTATTTTAGTGATCAATAATTTCTTTTCAAATTCATTTGAACCTTGAAATCCTTGTAATCCTTGTAATACAAATGTTCACTTTGTCTGGTTTTGTTGCAGCATGCCCATATATCCACATTCATTCATGGATGGAAGATACCCTATTAATCCAAATAAGTATATTCCATCTCTTTTCCATTTAAGAGCATAGATATTTAACTCAAGTCTATATTAAAATTACATAATATAAAGTTATCAAATACTAGATAATAATATTTGTATATAAATAATTCTACCATGTAAATTCCAACCATATAAAACCGCCTGAGTATCATTTATTTTAAAAAAATAAGTAATTTTTTCTCCCTGTTCTTTCTTCAAAATATTTCTAATGAGCTATAATTTTTGGATTTTTGGTTCCAAAGTAGATCTAATGTAAATTAGTTTCATATTATTTTTTTCTAAGCAAAAAAGCAAATATCATGCATGATCACAACACATTGGGTAATTCTTGGTAATACAATGTTCACTGGTTTTTGTTGCAGCATGCCACATATGAGACCATATATAGTTGAATGACCACCCCAATGCACCATTGGGAGTTGGAGATCAAAATTAAAGTATGTAAGGGATTTTTATACAGATTCTTTTTTGTCAAGTTGCAGGCTTTCATTTGATGCTATTTTTAATTTATCTTATTTTAAACCATTTTTTGATAATCAAGCCCAATTTTTTAATATAAAATATAGGTTAGATCACTTTTCTATCAATGGATGTTTATTTGGTAATAACGGAGGAGGCAGAGTTCGAATCTTGTATATAAAATTATTTTTGTTGAGATCTGCATAAAATATTTCTTTTGTTTAACGAACGTTACTGCACGTCCCCATTATATAGTTGCATAATGATTACATATTATTTAAAATCTGATAAATGAACGATATGCATATTTAGTATTAATATGTTTAAAAAAAATCTGATAAATATTTTTGTACAATCTGATAAAATATAAAATACAAAAAAAAAATGACATATATGTATGTGTGATTTTTTAATAATGTATAAATATGCATATTATTATATCATTATCAATGGACAAAGAAATTAAAATTTATAATATCATTTATACTTGTAATATAACATATACATACATCATGTGTATATATATATGTATGTGTAATCTTCTCATATATATGTAAAATTCGGGTAAAAAAAACTATAAAATATTTTTTTTTTTCAAAAAAAAAAAAAACTCCCTAATTCATAAAATAATAAAAATAAAAATGACTTCACCAAAACATCCACTTTTACCACCATCATCGAGATCAAATTCTCCTTTATCATCATCGTCACGAAGTCAATCACCATCATCTCTTACTACTGGATATCAAGCGGTGTTTGATAATGATAATTCGTTACCAATAATAATCTCTAAAAATGATGATTATGATAGTGATGATGGAAATATCTACAATAACAGTAACAAAAAAAACCCCAATAATAATAAATTCTTTAAAAGTAATAACAAAGGTGGTAAATATCAACCTATAGTCAACATAAATGATGAAGAGGAAAGGGGAGAAGGAGATGAGCAAATTCCAAATGATAAAAAAGATATAGAATTATCACAAAATGGTGAAATGGGTGGTGGTGAAGTTACTGAACTGGAAAAACCTTGGAAATATAAGATGATGGCTTTATTATGTGCTTTATCTTTAGCCGGTAATGTAACATTGACTTTTTGATAATAATAATTATGATAACGATGACGTTAGTTATAACAATAATATTAATTATTATTATTATTATTATAAAAACAATGTTTTTTTCAAATCAGCTGGAAGTCATTATGCAGCTCACACATTAGGTGCTTTAAAATCCACTATTAAAAAGGTTTGACTAATTATTATTATTATTATTATTAAAAGCATTCACTCGTATTTGCATAGATATGTGCGCTTGTAAGAAATTTCATTTTTAATTCATATATTATTATTATAGGAACTGGGAATAACAAATTCAGAATATGGAATCATTCAATCATCAGTTTCACTAGTTAACACAATTTTACCATTTCTTGGTGGTGTGTTTATTGATACATTTGGTACATCACTAGGATCAATTCTAGCTACATCTTTAATAGCAGCCGGTAATATTTTAGTAGCCTTATCAACCCATTTAATTTCATTTCATGTGATGGTTTTGGGAAGAATCATGTATGGAATTGGAAGTGGTACAATTGTTACGATACAAACTGCTATTCTAAGTCACTGGTTCAAAGGAAAAGGGTTGGCCATTGCTGTTGGTGTTCAAATTGCTGCTGCTAGATTAGTAAGTTCTTTATTGTCGTGTGATGGAAAGAAAGAAAGAAAAGAAAAAAAACTAATAAATTTTTATTCATTTATTTTTTTCCTGGGGAAATAAAAGTCAGCATTTTTAGCCAATTTAACAGTTATTCCAATCACCAGAGTTACTGGGTTTTATGGATATGCATTTTGGGTAACAACAAGAATTTTTTTACATTAATTTTTTTAAAATTTTTGTAAATAAATAGTAATATATACGTTTTTTTTTTTAGTTTGCTTCTTTCCTTTGTTTGACTTCTTTTACAATTAATCTGATATATGTCACTGTAAACCGAATCATTCGCGACCAATTAAGTGCCAATGAAATAAGAAAACTTAAACAAAAACGAACATTCAACTATCACAATTTACTATATTTTCCTACGCTATATTGGATTTTTGTTTTATTGGAATTTGGTTTAGGCAGTGCTTGGACTTCATTTTTACATATTCATACGTAAGTGATTATACAATACTGCTAGATACTTATATTATTAATTAATAAATGATATTTTAATAAAACATCTATTTACATGTGTGTGTGTGTGTGTTTTTAGTGAATTGGTGAAAAAAAGATGGAATAGCAGTGATGAAATTGCAGCATATAATTCAAGTGTGGCTCAATTTCTACCGATATTTGTTTCGCCTTTCCTTGGCTATTTATTAGATAGATTTGGTAAAAGATCTATAGCATGTAAGTTTTTTTATCTCTTTTTATATAGATATATTTATGTTTAATTAATTTTAACGAATTATATTTATATATATATATAAAACAGTAATAGTATCAGCAGTATTTCTTAATTTATCAATGTACCTGCTTGGATTTACATCAGCAATATCGCCAATCATAGGAATGGTATTCTTTTCAATTTCATTATCGCTAGGTCCCGTCTCCCTCCTCTCCTCCATCCCGATCATTCTCCCACTGGATTATATAGGCACAGCATTGGGTATAGTAAAATCAACATCAAATATTGGTGCAACCATTTATGATATTTGTGTTGGTTTGTTACAAGATTTAAATAATGAAGATGGTAAGGATGGAGAAGGCGGTGAGAATGAATATGATTTAGTGATGCATTTGTATGTTTTTACAAGTTTTGTTACTATATTGGTTGCAGTGTTATTGTCAATTGTTTCTAAAAAATATTATGATGGTGTTTTGGATATGAAAGATGACGAAAGAAAGGACTATTATGAAATGAAAAAAGCAAGTAATGGCAAGAATAGCAATAATGATGGTGGTAGTAGTACTAATTATAGTAAAAAACCTCCAAAAAGAAACTATATTTTTATTGGACTTTTTGTTTCTGCAATGATATTAAGTTGGATATTGTTTTTTAAGTTTGTAATTTCAAAAAATTTATAATTTTTATTTATTATTTTTATTTATTATTTTTATTTATTATTTATTATTTTTTTCCTAATAATTAACATATTTATTGCATGTATTTATATATATATATTGAAATAACAATAAAAAATATTTTTAATTAAAATTAAAATCAATAATTAATTCTAAAAAAATCAATCGTTTTTCTGTCTCTCTCTCTTGATCACACATAATCAATTCATCTACCCGCCCATCTCTAATTATTATTATTATTATTAAATTTTTGTAAATTGTAAATGTTTATATATATTTGTTATTAATAAAAGGAAAATAATAAGGATGAAAGAATAATATGTTATTTATTAATAATTGTGATATGATTTGGTTGTTTATTATATTAAAATATGTGTATATGTATGAATGAATAAATTGAATGAATGAATGAATAAATGAATGAATTGGATTTTTCTCTTCAGGTTTCTTTTTGAGGTTCTAGTAATAGAAAAAATTTAAAAATTAAAATCATCACCACCACAACTACCATAATTATATTTAATTAATCAATCGTTATAAATTACCATCAAGTGTTGAAAGTTCTACTTGTTTTGGAATGTCATTAACAATAGTGGACCATCGAATTTGTGACACTAAAAGAAAATCGAGGGTTTCGAGCCGTTAATGATTGAATAATATTTAATATTTAATAATTAAATAAAAAATAAAAAACTCACTTCTTCTACTACTACGATCATTTTTTATTTTGTCCAACATTTCACGATCTAATTTACCCATCGTCATACCTTAATTCAATATTAAAAACAAAATGTTTGTTAATTACTCCAAAATTAATTATTCTAATTATCGAATCAATAAATCGACACTACTTACTTCTTGTCATTGAATCTTTTCTACCATGATGAGTTTGAAAATCTTCTCGAGATCTTTCTTTACCTTTATTGCTTTTTTGTTCATCGGTTGTTTCACGATTTTTCGCTATTAATAATTAATAAAAAAATATTTAATACAAGGTGTTATTTTTAAAAAATCCAAAGTCTATAAAAGAGAAAAAAGAACAAAAAAATCACACATACTAGATTTTCGAACCATTGAATGTATTTCACCAGTGGTAGGATCAAAAAGTGTAAAAGTTTCACAATTTCTAGGTTCTGGAAGATTTGGATAATGAAGCAATCGACTAGTATAGAAAGCTTGAGGATGTACCGAATTAGTTTTATTGATAGCCGATTTAACGAGATGACCTGTCTTGACTTTTTTAGTTTTTGGTCCTTGGAATGGTGCTTTTCCATCGGATAAGTAACGCCATTTATATGAGACATTCAATAAATCATCAACTTTTGGTCTTCTTGATGGAATAGCATCCCAACATCTAAGCATAGCTGCTACATAACCTTTTGGAGTTCCGGAAATAATTGGAGGTCGTAATCCATTACAAATATCTTCAGCCAACGAATAATCATGTGCTCTGTCGGCATATGGTGCTTCATTGGATGATAATTCCCACATTATCATTCCTAAACTGTATATGTCTGCTTCCTTGGTATATGGTGCTCTTCTTAACACCTCTGGTGCTACATATGGAAGTACGCCATAAATATTTTCAGTATCTCCTTTTTCGTTTACCGGTCGACACATTCCAAGATCCGTTACATAAACCAATTTTTCATGTCTTAAAATGTTACCACTATTTTATTAGATGTACAACAAGAACGCACGAGAAATTATTAATAAAAATTTTTTTTGTGAAAGAAAAAAAAAATCCTTGTGAAAATAAATTTACCTATGGAAATCACGATGAACTAAACCAGCATCATGTATTCCTTTTAAACCTTTACAAATTTTATCAAATAACAAGATTTTTTCTTCCCATGATAATTCAGTGAAATATTGAGATAGATATCGACGTAAACTTCCATGATCAGCATAACGCATCACCATAACATATTGATTCTTTTCTGGATCCTTGCTAACCCCATAACAATCAATAATTCCTGATCCTAAACTACATCTATGATGTGCTCTAAGCTAATTATTTAAAATAAATAATTTAGTCAATAATAAATAACGAATTAACAAAATTATTAATTAATTTAATTTAAGCTTACCTCTTCAAGAAAGTCTCTCGTTAATTCTTGTGAATTATCAAGAAATTTTAGAGCAACCTGTCCCCAAGATTTGGATTTTGCAGAGTAAACAGCACCGAAACCACCTTTAGCAATAAATTCAAGATCTGAAAAGCTATCAAAAGGAATCCATCGCATATAATCAAATGGCGTATTTGCACTTGTTTGAGTCTCGCGAATAAATTCATCTAAATCATCGTCACCACTCGTCCAATTTTGGAACTGGTCTTTAAGTTTTTTTGTATTACATGGTTTACACCAACCAATGGAAGTACGTGGCTCGCCACATTTCGAACATTTGCTTATTCCGTCACTACTTCCATTTTCTTTTGAGAGTCCTAAAACTGATTTTGAAAAGGCTGTGGTCGGTACGGCAACACCTGCTTCTCTTGCTGTTTTTTTTTTTTTTTTTTTTTTTTGAAAAACAAAAAGGTTTATTATAATAATATTATAACAATTTAGTATGATAATAATAATATGTTATTATTAATATCAATATTCATGATAATAATAAAAAAAAGAAAGGTTTAGAACTTTTATTTATCCAATAATAATTTTCTTACCCAAAGTTTTCAGTATAGAAGAATAATCTAAAGCCATTTATATAATCTTTGTTTCTCTCTTTTTTTTAATATACTAACTCTTCTAATATTGTTTACTAATATTTACTTTTTGTAGGTATTATTATAACGTATTTTGAAAAGAAAAATTAAAAATTTTTTTTTAAAAAAAAAAGATATATTTTTAAAAAAAACAAAAATAAAATAAAAAAAATTTAAAATAGAAAATAGAAAAATTAGATTGATTTTATAAATATAAAAATAAATAAAAAATTTTTTATGTATAAGTAAAACTCCTTGGGAAAAAAACAGCCCTATCACATATGCGCCTAAGCTGATAACTTAGTATAATTTGTTTAATGAATTGTTACATTTTCAGCTATAAGAAGGTATGATCGTTGTGGTGCAAATATGTTAATTAAAGGGTTCTTTAAATACTCATATGAGGTTCTTTATTCTTCTAAAACGAATAAAATATCAAAAGGAATACGTTTCACAAGTCTCTCCCAATTGTAATATAAAATATAATGATTTTTAATTACTTCCATAATTAATTAGTTTTAAAGATAAAGAATATTTCAACATTTAATGTTGACAAATATTTACATCTATCAAAAAATATTTTTTTATTGATAAATAAATAAAATAATAATAATAAACTGAGTAAAAATATAATTTTTAAGTAATTTCCCAATACACAAAAAAATTAACGCCAAAAAACTTTCATAATCATAAATAATCATACTAAAAACACATGCAATAACTGAATTGAAAAGTTCATTCACAAGCCAAGTATTCTAAAATTTTCACCAATTAAAAATAAATTATTATTAATTATTTTAAATTAAAGATGATATTTGAAACATATGAAAGTTTTTTTTAAGCCTGATTTGATTTAAAAAAAAAAAATAGAAAGAAAAAAAGTATTTGCGTCAAATAGCTAGTAATCAACCAGCCATCAATCAATCAGCCAATCAAATAAATCATCCAATCAGCGACTAACCAAAATCCACCAACAAGATTACATCCACCATCATGGTGCGAAATGCCCGGCTTGCATAAAATTTATGTATGCACGGCCCACTCGAATAATCTTTTTGGTTTCCTTTTTGTTTTTTCCTCAAGAATTTAAATGAAAATTAAATCGGGTTAATTCATTCTGTATACGGAATGGATATACATCATGCCCCAACAAAATGAAAATTTGTACTACAGTTGATGTGAAAATAATAGCAATGAAAAAATTTCCCAATTATCGAAGAGAAGAAAAAGAAAAGAAAAAGAGAGATCATGTTTACAGGGTAACGAATATAAATTATGTTTATCACATTATACATGGATATAGATTAATCACAAATTTTTTTGTATCTGACTCTCTAAATAATCAAAAAAATAAACAAGTTTATAACATGACAATCACATAATAAGGAAACAATTAAAAGCACATACACACATTCCATTCTTTTTTTATAAACAGGTCTCGTTGAGTAGGAGAAAGTAAAACAGTTAGCATATGAATTTACAATTAAAAGCCACACTCTATCGATTGCTAAGTCTTTGGGGTGAATTAAATTCCACCAAAAGGATAACGTATTATTATTACCCATAGTATCTTGACAACAACAATTCTGTTTCTTATACGGAAATTTTTCAATAGAAACGCGTATGATGTTTGAAAAATTTATGGGGAAGACATCAAAAAAATGACGAATCTTTAAAACGCTAAGGTTCAATAGCTATATTTGGAAGTTGGAAAAAAAACTCTCAATTTTAGAACTTAGGCGACAATCCAATAAAAAATTTTATTATAAAAAAGCCCGAGGATAATGAGATTTACCCGTGATCCTTTCTATTTAAGAAAGATTTTACTAGACACGTAATCAAGTATATAATTTATCACATGATTAACATGAATATATGTGGTAGATTTTTATCATCATTTAGTAAATCTAATTTATATCTAAACTCGATAAGTCGAACGCAGCAATCAATTGTTTAAAGTACTTTATAATATCCGACTTATCAAGTTTAGATGTGTATACATCAAAAATTTGCTGACTTCCCATTTATGCGAAACAAACTTAATTAATCCCTATATTATTCACGGTATGTATATATGTTATCCTTGGCCTCCCAATATATATATATATCTCGATTTTTTTATCCTAGCACTAATTTGGTGCGCCGAACAAATAAGTGATTGAGTCATGTGATTTTATATCATTGCTATATTGGGATCCGATGATTTTGGCCATGCGGACCAATGTGTAAATTCTGTCGTGTAGCTAGTACAAATTTAGAGACTATCTAAAAGTTGATTGGATAGTAATATTACACGCCTTTTGCGCCCTCTCGCCGGGCGCAACATTTTGATTTTACCCCTTAATACCCCTTAATGTTAGATTTTTTTTGGGTTAGAAACTCCTAAATATTAACCATTTTTATCTTTGTACTATATGCCAAACTCTTGGATCTGGCTTACAATGTTCTGCAAGGACGATGATTTTTATGCGGCAATAAATTATGCATGCAATAAAAAGCAAATTATACATTAATTATGCACCAAAAAAGTCAACTAATGCGAATTATGCAGAATTATAATTAGCGATGATTGTCAACGGCTCCACTCTAGAATGATCACAAAAAAATACTCTAAATACATTTGGATATTCTTTTAATCTATATGTAGTTGGTTAAGGATTGGGAAAACTCTATTGAATGTAACCGTCAACACTAAGATTTGAAATACTTGAGGGTGACTGCAAGCACTATAATTCGGGCTAATAATGAATTTAAATTTAAATACAAAAAAGGAAACTCAAACTGAAAAAATGTCACTACATTTTTAATATTACCTTAAACAGAAAGAATACAATTTTCTGTTGATCATGCGATAATTAATTATTAATTATGCAATTTTGGTTGGTTGATGTTGATTATGCATCATTTGGCAATTTTTACTGATTATGCAGTATCATGCAAATTGCATCATCGTTCCTAATGTTCTGACATTTTCTTTAATCGACAGCCCCAAGAAAAACCGTGTAACAAACACTTGATAATAAACAAAAATGTCTTTTTTAAATTAATGAATCTGTACGAATTTTCAATAAGTGATGATTTCTAAATATGAATCTCAATGAAAATCCATTTACTTTTATCCCCAACTAAAATAATGCGGTGGCTGTAAAAACGTCAGGAATAATATAATAGATTATTCCCAAGTATATTCTACATTGAATGTTAGCAGCTTTGGAAAACAAATAACTTTTATATAAACAACAATTAAATTTTCCTACAATAATTAAAAGATCATATTGAACATCAACAAGCCGTGGATTGAAAGTCCTTCAAATTACTACATTCGGATATTAATTCACGAAAATAGCGCTGTATATTACACATACTGTATATGCAATTACAGGATATTCATTTATATATAACATACAAAAAAGAATGGGCATATACCATTATAATGAATACCTAATAATTGTATATATAATATACACCATTTTTTTCTGATGTATATTTAATAGTTATATATCTTTACTATATACAACATTTCTTTATTTGTTTGTATGAATAAAAATGACCTTTATTGTTTAATAGTGAGTAGTGTAGTAATGCAAAAATGCAAAGGATGTTATTATCATGATTTCCATGACAATACCATGAATCCATGATAATAACATCTTATAATTAATGGAAATATGTATATATGCAATTGGAATTCCAAGAGGATGTAAAATAGTGTTTTACTGAATAAAGAATAAATAGGTTTTGAGTCGAAACTAATTAACTTGTTAGACAGTTACTTTTACAGTAGGTCGAAATTGAGTTCTTTATATACCATTCAATTAATTAGAAATTCTAATATCTCAATATTGCAATAATATCTCAAAGTTGAGGCGATATTTCAAAATTGCGCGAATATCTCAAAATTGCACGGAACAAATAATTCTTAAGTTAATAAATAAAGCTATACATTTGCTAGTATACCCTTTTAGACTGATTGATACAAATTTTATTTGTTTCTGTTGTCATCAATTAAAGGCTCTCCCACTAAATTCATTGGTGACAGTATATAAAGAAGAATTGTTGTCGACGACGTCTTTTGTAGATTTTCAAATGAACGGGAAGCATGGAGCATAAATAAAAATTTAGATAAATTTTTTTTATATAAAAAAATTGTTAAATTGTTACCGAAAAATATAAAACTCGCCACCTCTCAAAAACTTACCCTTGAAATTTAATCTAGCACGTTGAGATACACTATTTGGGTACTTTAAAAATTATTCCAACTTGAATCTCTGGGTTAAAGTTCAAAAAGTTGGCTCAATATAAAGCCTTTGATATGTATGGTGTTTGAAAGTAAAGCATCGGAAAATTTAACCAGGGAACTTAAAGAACAAAAGTTTATTAAACTTTGTAGATAATTTCCTCGAATAAAAATAGCTTTTTGTAAAATTTTTGTTGCACGAATTTTTATTATATTAAACTAGTTTTTTGACTTCTTTTGGCATTACTAATTTCCATGCAGGTTATAAAATTCTTTTTTAACCTGACAGCTTGGATTATCACAAACAAATTTTTATATGTGATGTTACAGGTAAAGAATTTTGTAATCAATTGAAAAGTTATCAAGTTTCTTAATTCAATTAGAATATGTGATCTTTGGTAGAAAATACGTTATTAAGAACCCCATTTTCTTTGCTGATGTTTTTAAGGTTGATTGACAGCAATAGCGCTTGAAATTCAACCGCTTGTTGTATCCAATTAATTATTATTATTATAGTTAATGAGGGAAATAATCCAAAACTTTTGGATATCTTGGTAATTGAAGTAACATAATCATCGAGTCTATCCATCACTTAATAACTGTGAATTAATTAAGCCTTTTCTACTTATTTATATTAAATAAAAAAAACTTTTCAAAAGTATGCATTAAAGTTCTAACCAAATACCTATAAGAAATGCTTTTATATTAATTCAATCTAGATGTTGATACTTTTTAAATAAGTTGTCTAATGTTTTCATGCTCCAAAGAAAATATATTGTTCTATGTATTTTTATCCCTGCCTCCATTTGAAAAGGATATAAATTACATTTCTGTCTATATATTCCCGTTTTCCAACTACAACCTTAAAGGTTAAGTCATTATCACCAGAACAGTAACTTTTCTATTAAAAATTATTCTATTTAAACTTTTTTTGGTAACGGTTGATCTAAAACTGCTAAATATTCTTTCTATCTCCATCATCATATTATATGTACAATCAAACATTCCTCAAATGCAAAATATTCCAAGTTGTGGTGATTTTGAGCAATTGGTTTGTCAATTCTTTTTAATACATAACATTCCATGCATTCATCTCATTCACCATCAGTTCAAGAGGACTTCCATTGATTTTAATAAATCTAATCTGATAGAAATTTTTTACTTTAAAATTTATTTTTAATTAGGTAACAAAATCCTGCTGCATACAAATTATGTTAAAAACATTAATTCATCATGATCTAACCCCAAAGTTTTTTATCACACATGCATAGATGATACATATTAATTATAAATACTGTGATTCAAACTTTACTTTATTATTATTATTATTATTATTATTATATAAACCAGTCTCCCTCCCCACAAATTATATACTGTGTACAAAGGTCGTAATATAAAAATCACTACAATTTCATGACTTTTGTATGTAATTTTGATTAAATACATAATGAATTTATTATAAACATAAGTGCCAATTGTTACAGAATGTTAATGAAGGATTAAATTTCACCAAAGATTTTTAACAGCCACTATAATGAATATTCTGTATATTCTGTCTATTATAACTCTCAAATCTTGATCTTTTTCTTCAAAAAGGATAGCAATAACCATTTTTTATTATTAAAACAAAACGTCATATCATATGATGAATAAATATACATGGGATATTGCATTATGTTAATGAGACATAAAGTTAACAAGGAAATTCCGCAATATTAATATTAATATGTATTTCCTGGAGAATTGCAAGTTATTTTACATCTTCTCGCCAACTTTCAAGGCATTTACAGCAAAATCGAAAAGAAAATCTTTCTTTAAAGTATATATACTTATGTAAATCAGTACCAAAAATTAACTTTTATGTGTCTTTGTTATTCGATAATTGGACGAATCTATAGACAACATAATAATAATGATGGTGTATGAACATTCACGGTGATAATAATGAAACTTGTAAAAGAAATTTATTCAATTAAATTTATTCTAATTCTATTGCAAAGTATAAGAGAAAAGGCTGCACAAAAGGATGATTAAAAATACAAGATTAAAATTATGATGAGATATTCGTAAAATAAAAATAGTTAAAGCAAGTATCTTTGGAGAGTAGAATTTAATTTAATAAAGCATATATTCATTAAAAAGAAAAGAATTAATCAATTCCCAATTGCAACTACAATTTTTGTGAAATCCTTTGCACCTTGATTATCTTTTTAAAGAATAATCAGATTCTGATAAAAATACCTTATTTTTATTATAACGAAGAAACAAATAATTAATAGATTGATAACCAATACTGTTACTGCCATCTCCATTGTTGTTACAGTTGCTGTTGTTATGAGGTTAACCACAATAAAATTAATTGATTGCTAGTCAATTTATTATTTTGTACATTCACATTCACATTCACATCATATTGATGACATTAATTGAATTTAAGTCTTGACAAGTGTTCATTGTGATTGAAATAATGTTGGGTTATCCATTATAAAGCATAATTTCATGATGATTCATTGTTTAATTTTTTATTGATTATTGATTTTTATTGTTTTATAATAAATAATTTATTTTTATTTAGAAAATTAATCATCTGTCCATGTCATTCTTTTTATCATTGAATTATGTGATACTCACTAGTATTATTAATATGTATATTAATGTATAAAAAAAAACATGCCGATACTCTAAAATATTTCACAATACATATGTTAGCATTTTTTTTTTCTTGTAATTATTGTATCTCTGTATCCCTTGCATGGCCATGATTAAACATACCGGATTCTACCAAGGATCTGTTGATTAGCAGCTGTCAAATTCAATCCCAAAGAACAACGCTTAAAAGGTTTCGATGAACCATCAATTTTAAACATCTTATTGTATTTTACCATTCAATCTAACATATTTAAATAATTATTCATCGATTTTTCCATCAAATCTAAAAATGACATCCACTAGCTGTATTGTAAATGTGAATAATTTGAATATGAATGTAATGATAAATTGATTAAATGTTATGATAACTTGCCTGAACACAACAGATATGGGTGCTTAGATCATTCTTGCTAAAAAATCAAAATGTAAGGTTTAAGAAATAATAATAAAAAAATAACTAATTAGCAATATTATATATAGCGTTATTACATATTATTCGTTTAAAATTTTTTGATATAAAAAAATTTATTTTTGATTAATCCGGCGATGGCATATTGTTATAATATGTTTGGCTCGGTCTAAAGACCTCCTATTACTGCGTCACAAGCTTGAATTTCAAAAAATTGTGATTTCGTGATTTGTTCAAAAATGCAATAAATTTTTTTTAAAAAAGGGTTTCACGTGATTTTGGCTAAAAATTTTTTTTACTGCCAAATTTAGATATGATGGTCGAGTATTAGACTAAATTTAGTAACGATGATCAAAAACTAGTCTAAATTTAGCAATGATCCTAGTGCTCAAATTCCTCATGAGCATAGTAAAGTACATGCTTTAAAAAAGAATAGAACTCTACAACAAATAATTTTTTTGAGAACATCTCTTTATTATATTAAAACTAAATACATATTCTATCAACTAATAGAGCTATTTTTTTAAAAGATAGGACAGAAAATGACTTCTATACTTTTAAAATTTGCCCAAAATTTAGGAGGTCTTTAGACTGAGCCAACTATATAAAAACTCTAATCCATCATTTACATAGTTTTCTGAAGCTGCCATTGCTCCTAATATATGATTTTCTAGATCTTTGATTGAGTTGAGTATTATTGCTCTTGATTTCAACATGCTATTAATAAAATCATTTAGGATTTCTTTAGATTTTTTGAGTGGTTCAGACAGGTGTACTGGAACCGATACAACTTCAAAAAATTCACCCATACCAGGGTTGGCAAATTGACTGGTTCATTGAGAACAGATAGATTTTGGGCTGGTCCATTGCCATTAATGAAATACTAAATATGGTTAAAGTGTTACACTAATGAACCCAATGGACCACAAATAGACCACCAATGGACCACACATTTGCCAACCCTGGCCCATACCAATTGATTCGTTCCCTTCTCTATAATGGTTGATTGCTTATAAATAAAAATAAGTTCATTTCTATATGTATATAGAAAAAATAAAACAAAATAATAAATAAATATGCACATACATATTAAGATAAAAAATTATGTCATAATAATAAACAATAAATGATACTTTGCTATATAATTGAAAACTAATGATAGGAATTCCAAGATTATCCTTCATATTTTCAAAAAAATACTTTTTGTTTATATCACAAATGGACTTATATATAAATCCCTTTGCATCTAAAGACTAGTGCCGTAAATTATGGTGATGGTAGTAACTGTATTTATGGCATATAAAAAGTGGTTGCAATTACCTTTGCGACCACTTTGCAACCATACTTTTTCCTTTTTTGGATTACAGCACTAGTCTTTATTTGCATCAGAAGAGAATCTTATTAATTTCATCTTATCCCATTTAAATTTATTTTTGTCATCAATCAAGGATACCAACTGGATTCCAGAAAAGATATTTCATATCTAAACATGTTGTTTGGACGAATATATGTAGTTTTGAAATCTGGTTTACAAGCATATGGTGCTTTGTTATAATGTTCTTTTCTTGATGTGGATGTGTAACTTGTTTTTTTCAGACCTATATTCAAATATTCAAAGGTTGCATTATATAAGTGATATTTCGTTGAATTTAAACAAAAAAACTTCAATTTTCAATATTTGGTAATTACCATTCAATATGTATGTGTTTTTTCCCAAGCAACGTGTCAAATAAAATACTTAGATTATGTTGCAATGTGCCTTTGTTGTAATTCTCTAAACTGACTGCTTTGATTGATGAAATTTTCCAAATATGCTTCCTAAAAAAGAATAATAATTTATTAATAATATTAACTATTTTAAAAAAATCATCATTTAAATCTTAATGCAAGTTACATTATATAAAGAAGGTCTTCAGTCAAATTTTTGTCTCATCATTAACATCAATACAGCTAAATTCTTTTTTGAGATCCATCAAAAACTCATACTCTCAGTTATGATTCTTATCCAACAAACTTGTAAAGTCAATGTTGAAATATAGGAGATGGTTGTACAGATCATTATACAATGTTTTGATTTTGATGTTTTGTTCAGAAAAAATGATATTAAGAATGACTTCATAAGGAGATCTCCAGTCATCTAGCATCATTCTCTAAAAAAAATTAAAAAAAATATATCATGAAAGTGATGATGAAAATAAAAAGGTAACCATGACATCATGATGAATAGAAAATAAAAACACTTGCCTCCCTTTTGATACGTTAACACGGCTTTCAAAAAAATCATTGTACTAGGTTGGTTATATAGTAAGTATTAGTGTGTGTATATACATATAAATAATAAAATGAAATAATTTTTTTACCTCTATAGTTGCAATAGGCTCATATTCATCATCATCAAAACTTCTATGTTTCATAAATTCCTTTTTTTCCTGTTTATTATATTCATTTATAAATTTTTTTGCTGATAGATGAATGTTTATTTCATCCCAGGTTTTTTTGAATATAGAAGGATGTTTTTTTCTTTCCTAAATAAATTCAATTATACAAATCAATTAAAGCTGCTCTTTTTCTTAAAAAATGATAAAGAAAGAACTATAATCAGATTTTAATAATATAGTCATTCTTCATATTATTCATATAGCTGGTTCTACTTGGTGCTCAATGGACCTGAGCTACCTTTCAATTATCTACTTGGAGACCAGGGTGCCTCCCATTTCAACGTTGTCTACTCAGTAGATATTGCTACCAATTCAACTCCATCTAATCGGTCAGCTATTAGGCCTCCTTTTTTTGACCAACCAGCAAAAATTAGAATAATATGAATTTGAACACTCATTGCTAAATACACAATGATTGATAGCCAGTAAAAAGTCTTTATATGAGCTTCATGTCCTATGCAGCAATTGAATGCTCTCTCTAGTTATAGATGGCAATGACAAAGTAGGGCCTCTCTACCCACTAACAAAAATTAGTGGCACAGCAAGCTAAAAGAATGCTTACTCATTGTTTCAAACAATTGAAATATCATCATGTTATTTTCTTTTTTATAAATAATAAGGATACCGGCTGCAAATTTTGATGATGGTTGCTACCATCTTTGCATCATATAAAAACGATTGCAACCACTGGTTGCAACCACCTTTACAACCATTTTGTTTCCTTTTTTGGATTGCGACATGGAACACTAATAAATAAAAAAAAGTTTACTTACTTCACCATGAAAAGCATTTACAAATTTGTTGAATGTTATTAAACCATTCTTACTCAATAAACCTTTGTCATTTATTAATTTATTGATTATCTGATTTGTGACCACTTTTTGTTGTATTTTGTTCTGGAGAAATATATTTTTGTCAGATAGGATTAAAAACATCACTAGTAAAAACTTTAATAAATATTTCAAATTGTTGTTGTTTTTTTAGTTGTTGTAGCTCGATTGGTTGGATTGCTGTCATTTTTGTTTTGATTAATTCTATTAAAATCATTGCTGTATACACTATTTATATAAAAAAATAATAAAGTTTTCCTTCCATATTCTTTATACATTTTTTTGGAAATTTAGAGCATGTAAAAAAATTTTTCATGGAAAGTTATGTTCAAACCCTAAAAATTAAGGGGCAGGTCGTTTTGCCAGAATTTTTGCTGATTGGCATTGAAATTTTACTAATAAAAGATGATGATTCTTTTACATAAACACGGGTAGAAATTCCTTTTTGATTGGCCAATTTGTTTTTCACGTATACACAAAATCGTCACCATGCTATTAGTGACCACACGGATTAGGCGTTACTGTGTTTCGCATATTCTGAAGAGTACATATATTAATATTAATATATAGTCATCACTACATCCTTCCCAATTGACCTATGTCACACATAATAGTTTTTAATATAGGACAGCCTGAATATTTCACAAAGGCTTTGTATATTATTCCTTAAAATTGGACATGTACTAGTGATAATGTAGTAGGCATGGTATACCACAACAATTATAGTAAAGACTTGTTCCATTATAAAGAAAAATCTCTTTATAACGAACTTATTATAAATAAACTGAAAAGTCCCTTACAACGAGATGAAATTCATGGTAACTAAGTCTAAACTATCTGATAACTATATACTGTTTCCACTTCTTTCTCTTCATCAGAATTGTCAACCTCAGGATTTGGCCCCACTGCTCTAACAACTTCTTTGTCAGTTAGTTCTTTGTACTGGTACTTCACCACTAAATAAAGCGTTCTGCAGAGATTGGATCTTGCTGATAAATTTGTAAATTAACCAAGGTTATTTTGACACCACTAAAAAAGAGGACGATGTTTAAATTAATTGATTGTAAAAAGGATACTTTTTCGAGGGCCAGAGCAATATATATATAGTAATAGGTAACTCGTGGGTTTGTAAATGAATTGGGTTGATTATTACTGTGTTAGGTAAAAATACTTTGAAATTTGATCATTTTTATCACATTATTCATGCTAAGGAAATTGTTTGCATTTGTGTTAAAACAATAAAGTTTAATAGATTCTGGGATAAAGTTTACTTAAATCATCATGCAAAGGGTGCTGGATGTAAAGGCGAAGAGCAATTTTCAATTTTAAAAACCTGCTCAAACTGAAAAGACGAAGCTCAGAAGAAGAATTTGTATATGATAGATAATATGAATGATGATGACTTACTTCGAGTAGATAAAATAAACGACAATAATGATGTTACTTTAATAAAAACGTCAATTGTGCAATATGACAACAAATGAACTGATCGAAACTATTAACAAGATTTTACCAGGGAGCGCGCAGTGAGCTTTATGAAATTTTTAAATTTGATATATTAATTAAATATTAATTAATTGCTTTTGCTACTTTTTAATTTGGCCAAGACATCTCTGGTTCACACCTTTCAATCCTGTGTATTCTCAAATCACGGATTGATCAATTTTTATTATACAAGAAAAGCCGAAACCCAAAATCTCAAGAAGGCACTCTGTCGTAGCTACACGTATACTTGACCAGGCGCAAACATATTTTCATCAATGTTGACAGTTTTGTGAGATAATATTAATCCTTGGGTTTTATGCACGATAAGTGCGAATGCATTATTCAGAGGAAATTGTTGCCTAGGTGCAGGACTTCCATTGATATTAAAGCAAATGGTTTCTTTTTGCACAGTCATCTTGTGGTATCGCAGGTTGTCAGAAAGGTTACTTCAACATTTTGAGGATCAGTCATTTTGATTATCACGCCGATTGTCCCACTGCAAATTCCATGATCAAACAACTTGTTGTTGAGGATCATCACTTTTGCACCTTCTTGAAAAATGACATGCTTGGGGAAGTTTATATATCGGTTGAAGTGAAAATCTTCGCTTTGATTCTGATTGAGGATGTACAAATCAGCAATTAGTTCACTAGTTAATTATTATCTACATGAAACTATGTTTAATTTTTTTGGCATAAAAGTTTGAGATTTAATTTAGATTATTAATTGATTATTATCATAAATAATGAGAGCAAAAAAACTTTAGTCATAATTACGATTGATTGATTCAAAAAAATTAATTCAAATTGCGGGTTAGTAAAAATGCGTCCTTTAATTTTTTTTTCAATTTTGCATGAAAAGCAATCTTTGACAATATGTAGCTCTTTTATTGCTGTTTTTTATTTATTTATTTATTTTTTATTAGATGATGGCGGGTCGAAAGGATTGAAACGAAGTTGGTGCGGATGAGAAAGCTATCCACCAAGTATTACGTTCTTTATCATCATTTTTTTATTATATACAAATCATTTATATTTAACAACCACAATTATATGCATCCATTGAGAAAGGCGAAGAAACTTTTCACTTTTTAGCTATTTATTTTTCAAATGAGATTAAATTTACTAAATTCGCCTCTTTGAATGTATATGTGATTTTTTTATTATTCGCGTAAGATTTTTCTAATCATTAAACAATAACATGGTTTCACGGTTAAACTTGAAATATTTCTATGTTGGTGTTATGAAAAAATATTGGTGACGGCTATCCTATTTATATGTTTGAATTTAATAAAATATGTGATAATAATAAAAAGCAAGAGGCTTGCTTACATTGCATTCTCAGTTATAAATTGGTTAATAAAAAAACCATACTAGTCGGTAGCAATCTTTATCATGCTAATCAAACATTAAAACCTCCGTCCGTTTGTTTGGGGAAAAGATTTTATAAATGGTAAGTGTTTATCACGTGGTAAAGGTATCTACTGTACATAGATCATAAATAAAAAATTATCTCGGAAAATTTTTTTTTTTTTGAAAAAAATCCTTAACAATGGTTTTTGTTAGCTATTTCATCTCTTCTCCTCTTATGCTCAAGCTTTAGCAAGGCGGAGAAGAGATTGGATTGAAATTTGTAAAACCTCGGATTTCTAAAAAGAGAGGGTTTTCCAAAAAAATGATAACGCAGCGTAGTACAGATTCCAACTAATTTCTTGTTTTTAAACGAAAATGTAACGGTGAGCTCCGTAAAACACAAAATAGCATTGTAGAACGACGATATTCTTTGAATGGTGCATTGATCGAGTAGTCCAATAAATTACCACGAAAACGTATAAATAGACCTGCTACCTCCACTCGTGGACCAAAAAAAAAAAACGGTGCGTCGATTTTGCTTTTTACGTTGCGTTCGAAATTGAGGGTCGAGACACATAGTGCCGAAACGGCATTCTACGATTTGCTTTACATATTACGCTCAAATACAAAGGTTGAGAGACCGTCCTGCATAAGGAAAGGATTTTCACAATTGATTTCAATTTTTTTTATACAGTTTAAAATACTTTTACAAGAATATTACGTAGCCCATTCTTGCAATAAATCGTGTGTAAATAATTTACACAAACTTGAAGCTTTACACTTTGTTGTTTTCATATCTTTTGGATCCCTTTGAATCCTACAACTTAATACAATTTACTCGAAGAAAAAATGCCTGAAATTAACGTTGCACAGAATGTAAAACCACTGAATCAGCTAAATTTCGTCAACTGAAAGGTAATAAATGGAAAGAAGCCGAGAACAACAACTTAGTGAAGGTAACGTGGACAGAAGGTGTTGTTTTATGTAACATTTGTTATATGAATTTTGTAGAAAATATTTTTAAAAAAGGACTAGGAGAGTAAAAACCACAAATGAGGAAGGGGAAGAGGAAGAGGTAAACAAAATATTCAAAAAGTGCATTCACGTTGAATGTTAACGATTATCATAGCATTCACGTCCAGAGACAATCTGATATTATCACTATAGCACGAAATTAGAATATCCTTTAATCACTAAAACTTCATCTAATTGTATTAATTGCCTTCTTTAGTTTACGAAATAACCGATCTTCACCTTCCAAGAGGTTCTGTTGCTTCTAGGAAGCATCTACAAATATTTTTTGCAATTACGTATATTGTGATTACACTAGCTATACTAATTTGAATAATCGTATTGTGCTCACATGTGGACATGGTTATCACAATCATTGCCTACAAAAGTGCCAATCTAAATGTTTGATACCTTGGACTATTTTCATCGAAATCAAAGAAAATGTCAATGCACTAAAAGAAAGTATGACGAAAAAATAACGAAAATCCAGTTGGTGATGATCTGGGTAATGTTGAATCAGCAATAGATGATGCAGCAACAATGGAAATTTTATTAGAACATCCAAAAAAAAATTTTTTTGGTTGTAAATTTTTTATTTTATTAAATAAACTTGTTTGATTTTTTCATACATTGTTCATGTTTTGTCTTGATCGTATATCTTAATTGGTCATTCATCGACATTCATTAGATTAAGGTTATTTTTGATTACATCGAGAGATA